CCACCTCTACATCAAGACAAACTCTCCATGCGAAGATAGGGAGCAAATACATTACCAGGGTTGCCGTGTTTTCAGTTTTGGAGTCCCCAAATAAAGTGGCAGCCCTGTCAATGTATTTGCTCCCTATCCTTGCATGGAGAGTTTGTCTTGATGTAGAGGTGGACTCTCAGGATAGCGTGGGATATCCCCTCCATTTTGGCCGCAACTTGAGAGCTTTTTTTGAGCTCGGGAGTTGATTTCAGAGAAAACCAGTGGCACCGAAGTGTTTCTCGCGAACTTTTACGTAAGAATCAATCGTCAAATCGCAAATTCCTCACACATGCAACATCTCCATTGTCTTCTTGAAGTAGCCCTTGATATTTAATATGTGACGAAATAAACATCAAAATTTGCAGTTTTAGTAAAGAATTTCGTGTCCAATTTCTCCAATTGACTCAACCCACTGTGCGTTGGCCCCGTCGAGAGGGTGATCAACCGGCGAAGGGCAGACGTAATGCAATTTGCTGCCGTCATCCCTTGCGCTGTTGCATTTCGCATCGAGAATGCTGGAAATTTATGCGAGGGCGGAGATTTGCAGGGCGTCCACTGCTCCGGGCTGAATTTTTGAGAGCGGTCCGATTGTACTGAAGAAGAGCCAACACCGAAAAAAAGAATCACAATCTCAACTATACGCATGGCTGATTTTGGCGCCAATTACAAGAGTAGTTACACCAGAAATAAGTGTGGTTGATCCAACCACACGTTCGGCCGACTCACTCAATCTTACCCTGGCTGGTTCAACTACTCTTATAACTTGCGCCAAAATCAGCCATGGGTATAGTCGGGATTGTGATACCTTTTCCGTTAAAATTTCGCAAGAAAGCTCGAAATTTTTTGCGCGCCACGCGTGTTTTTTTACAACCTGGCAAGTATGCAATCCTTTGCGCAGCGCACGTAAATCCTTAGTGCAGTTTTTGCCCGCAACACAGTGGATCGAGTCAATTAGAGAGGTCGGACATGCAATTTTTAACTAAAACTGCATTTTTTATGTTTATCCCGTCATATTTTAAAGTTTTAGAAGTGCGCCTACAGGAAAATTTTCGGGGAAAAAATAATAAAAACAAATGAAAAAAGGAGAACTCTTTGAAATGCTAGAATCGTAGCACGTGCGCTTTTCTGATTCAGCCATCGATTTTCAAATGCTATGAAGTGTGGAATTCTGCGGAGGTGGTGAAAAGTTTGTAAACTATGTTAACTAGATTGAAAAAAAAAAGAACTATTGCAGGTGTACTTGGTGAGAAAAGTCTTTTAGATGTAATTCTTTTTAATCAGCTAATTGACAACGTCGCACGTTGTTGTGCGTGGCGTCAAGTTACGAGCGAAGGCGAGAAGGGTGGACGCTCTTTCTCATTACCAACAGTCCAAGTCGTAATTGATTGAATACTCATCATACTGCAGTGAGAAAGTTGCCAATTTTATTGCCTCGCAGCTGGAATAGTAAATTTCTGAATGACGCGCTATGAAGTCATGCAGGGTTGCATGCTTCTGCGGGCTGACCGTGAAATTGATAGACAAAGCAGACATAGGGAGTACGAAGCGATCCTATTGGTTGAAATGTGTGGTTCTCATAGACTAAGGGAGGAAATGATGGAATAACGATTGGGGTCCCCCGTGGGTTGTCGTTAGTTAGTCTATTACCTCCCTCCTTTGTTCATTGCAACCAACCGCCTTTACCAATAGGATCTCTTCATATCATTTTTGTCTTCGTTGTCTATAGTTTTGTCTATCAGTTTCAAAAATCAGCCCGCAGGTATCGTAAGAGTCTTGTATTCTGTCGCGCTAAGGGAGAACGAACGTTCGAATGTTGCCAAATTTCCCTTGGAAAAAAAACACTTATTTTGGAAGAAAGTTATGCATTTCTTTCGTAAAATTTTCCGATATTTTAGATTAAACTGCTTACTAAATTTTCTTTTAAAAAAAACAGAAGAAAAATATTCAGAACTTTCATGGTAAAATTGTTTTTTTATCGTAGGGAATATGGCAAAGTTTTGCAGGCGCATACGGCGTTTTCCCCCCATAGCACGGCAGTATAGCCGCTCAGATGATAAGTTGACGCAATCGCCGCTCGCCTATTTTACAAGGATACCTCATACTTTTTCAAACACTTTAAATTTTGGGCATAATCATAATTAGGGGCAACGGGGAATAATCGTTTCCTGGAAAATGAATGGAAGCGACTTTTGTCGAGGATGTGTGCACACGACAGTAATTAACGGTACGAAATTCGCGCCGTACTTCTGGGTTAATTACAACGAGCTCATCAACCGGTGATATCGACGCTGGATTAGATAAGGAAGTCGATTTTCTACCCGCAATAAATCTCTCTCTTGATCTCTGTGTTTGCACAAATATATCGGCGGACTTAAAAGACTAACATGTTCATATTTCGCGGAACCCGCTTAAATGCACGCATTCCTACGGGCTGTACTGCCGTGCTAAGGAAAAACGCCGTATGAGCATTCGAATGTTGCCAAATTTTCTCCAAGAAATTAATTATTTTTGAAAAAGGTTATGCATAATTTCTCTTGAAATTTTCAGATATTTAGATTGAATTGCAAACAAAATTGTCCGAAAAATTGTCCGAAAATATTAAAAAGTTTCCTACTAAATTAGTATTTTATCAAAGGAAATTTGGCAACGCCTGAAGGTTTTTACGACGTTTTTCCTTAGCAAGGCAGTGTAGGTCTCAACAAATCCGGGCTTGCTTTGTTTCAATATTGGTCGAATCACCCAGTTCTTTCCTCTTCCCTCTTGTCGGAGATCGTCCCCAGAAATAAAAACCCAACTCCCAGATATTCCGCCTATTTTTAATCACCGAGCTATCAAAGGAATTTGATCATTTTGTCGTTCGATTTGGCGGCTTTCAACGTAGCCGGTGCGACGTGCGAGCGTTGAGCTCATAAAAATTTTAGCACGTCATTTTTCACGGTTTGAATTGACAAGCTAAAAGGTTTGACGAATCTCCGCTGACTCCGATGGACTCGGGTTTTGGAGTTTTTGATCGTGAGTTTTCTTGCTAGATTACTTTTCTTCCGGTCGCGTTTAAATGGCAAAGTTGAAATCCAAGCGACCCGATCAGAGAAACTGTTGACAATTAAGTCTAATACAGATTTTTTAAAGATCTAGTACCGAAGATCTTCATTGGCGTTATCTTGTTCGCAATTTGAATATTTCATTGTTTCATCTTTAGTAAAAGTAGTAGTTTGGAAAAAAAAATCTGACCAAAAAAAATTGCTTTTTGTTAGAAGTAGAGGGCCGTCCACAAATTACGTAAGGCACTTGGGGNGGGGGGGGGGTGTCAAGAGGTGCCTTACGGGGGAAAAGAAAGTCAAGTAAGTCAAACGCTTATTATTGAGAAGGGGGAAGAAACGCCTTTTCTGCACCCAGCGCCTCAATTTTGGGTAAAAAATAAAGGGTTGGGTGTACAAAATAGTCTTCGACGTGAAAGTAGGTGTCCCCTGTAACAGAATGTTTCTAACAAGCCAATCGTCAGAAACGTTCATTTTCGTGCTGAAAAATCTTACAACTGTGAAAGGCTTTCTTTCTGCCTGAGAACGACTGAGAGTCCGGCAAGTAAAATCCTAAATCGCGGGGAAAAAGAAAGAAGAAGGAAACAGTCCACGTGTCCGACAAACTGCGAAAATGAGGAAGCAACAATGTATCTAACGAGAAAAAAATTCACTCTCTCACTTGATTTCATTCCCATACCTCAACTTTTCTCGGTATGTGGGAAACAGATTACAAACTTCTGCCGACTTGCAGACAAGTTTTCTGTTGTATCACTCGCCTCTACTGAGTTCCGACATGAAAAATAATGATATCGTATCATGACGGGTTCATTAGACACCGAATCGCTTCAATTGAACGTTTCTCTGCCGAACAGAACTATGTGCATCAAGACATGAGCCCTGAGACCCATTAGAATATATGCATAGTAGTGCTCACGTCATAATGCACATAGTTCCGTTTGGCAGAAATACGTCCAATTGATACTCGCTTTCAGCGGAACCATTAATATGCTCTGAAACCAGACAATATGCATAATGAAGGCTTACGTGCAAGAACGATGCATGTGCATGTTATAGTACATTGCACGTACGTCGTTTTTTACGAACATGTGTTCATTTTTATGCGCACATGGTAAGAATTATGTGCGTTCATTTGAGGGCTCCGGCCAATAACTCGCCAAAGGTCGGAACTATTAACTAGGCAGGGTTAAGTAAAAAGAGCCTAACAAGGACCCGCCGTGTCCCATCAATCCTGCGCGATTACACCATTGACGAGGCTCTTGTGGAACGTCACTTACGCGGTTTCTCGTTCAAAGCTGCCCGACTGCCGAAAGAAGATCTTCCGTCGAGCTAGAAATTTCTTTGACGCAGACGCCCAATTAACGAGTCATCAACTTGTACGCCATGTTTTAATAAAGTATGATTGACGCAGCTCCACAGGACACTTGGAGAGGATCTGCTCTTATGAAGAATAACTGGACCTTGAGGATGGATCCTCTCATAAACAGGGCTTTAAATGAGCCCTAACCTTACCGGGTGAAAAATTCCTGAGGTCATTGAAAATCTGCTAAATGCTAGGAATTTCCAGGCAATATCTGCATGCCAACTTTCAATAATTGCGATATTCTTAGGATATTGATTTTCAGAGAGAAGTTTTTTGGTGTTGTCATGATGTATTCCCACAGTATTCACATGAAAACCATTCGGTGGTGTTAACTGAAATGTTGCAACACTTCTGCCGATATCATCGACGTAAATATTACCAAGCTATTTATATAGGGCGATTACTTTCTTAGCATGTCGAAATTGTTTTTAAAAATGGACTAAAACCCATGTTGTCCGCAATTTTTTGCATACGTTTATGCAGAGATTTTAGACTCTAGATCACACAGTAAGACTGAAAAGAAAGCACGGCGGCAGAAAGTAATATGAATCGTATATTTTTTGTTTCAGACACGCTCAGAAAAAATACACATTCTCAAAACCGGGCATCACATCAAATTGGCGTTGAATATTGTCAACCTGTTTACGGTGAGTCACCCCTTATTTATTATCAGCAACTCTTATATCGAGATTAATACTTGTTTTCTTATTACGCGTCGAGATTTCTTTCAAGAAAGCCTCTAAACATATTGCATGTTGATATTTCTACCTTTTATTTGTTGCGAAAAAATTCAAATGTAATTTTATGTGAAATGAACCGGAGTACCTAAAAATCATAAGTTATCGATTCTTAACGATAAAACCACATCAGTGTCAATGAGCATCGAGATGGCGGACAAATTTTGCTTGTTACTGTTTTCCGCTATAAAGGGCATAAACGGTCTCACAGAGGCGGATTACTACCTTGAAGTGTAACATTAACAAAGATCATGCAGAAATTGTTCACTCGAATCTTTCTCATTTTCTGGCTTCAATTTCTTTATCTTCACAATATTTTGATCCTGCATGCGCATTTCTCCGCGATTAACGGCGCGGTCTACATCTTGAATGTCGCCGAGACTCGGGCTGAAATGAGCAGCTTTTTTTTTTATCCGCCTTTTTTTTCTTCTTTTTTTTACGAATTTGCATGTCGAGTAATGTGACGTTACGCAAGCCGTGCTCTGAACCAGTCCATCGTTTCAGATAAGAGAAGTAAAGCTGAAGTTATCGGACAAGATGAAAAAAATTAATCGACTTCGGGGAGGGAGAGAGAAGGGGGGGCACGAGAATAAGTGAAAAAAATTGTCGACCCTTAAAACTATCCACGTCATACATGCGCCTGGATCGAAAAAAGTATGATGTCATTCGTTATCTATACTTTTTGCACGGTTTGCAATTTGCGATTTTAGCAATCTTCTGCGCGACGTCCGATGATACCAAGTGAAAGGAGCCTTTGGGAGAGGTTGCACATTACATTTTTGACTAAAACTGCAAATTTGTATGTTTATTTCGTCACGTAGTAAATTTTAGGGGTGATTTTTTTAAAGAAAATTTGACGAGAAAATCGTTGAAACCATTTCTAAAATGCTACGTTGTTCAGGTATTAACGAAGGTGTTGACACGAAAAAGTTACACAAAGAAACACGCAGAGTAACACTAAACACGGAAATTTGTAACTGTGCATGGCAAAACTTTAATCCTCGTCCAAAGGAAGAAATATCTAAATTTGATATATAATTTTCTAATATCTAAATCTAATAATCTGAAATATGTAACTTCTATTTTTGAAGAAATATCTGAATTCTAAATCTGAATTTGCTTCTCGACCTAGCAACTAGTATTTTCAATTTTTCCGAATGCCACGATTCGTACAATCGGATTGTTAGAGAACGACGAGATGGGTTGACGATTCACGAACTTTTCGGGGGCTCCTCGTCCAGCAAGGAGGATGGGGGGGGGGGTGTTCAACCTTGCGCCTAGCTGTCCAAGCCCATATCTGGCCCCCTGCCAAGGACCCCGCACCCCCGCCCGAAGGGCAATTTTGAGGTGCCAGGAGGCAGAAACTCCTAACTTCATATTCTTCTTCCTGCTCCTTCTTCTTTTTTTCTTCTTCTTCTTATTCTTCTTTGTATCCATCCTATTTTGTGTATGTCGCTTCGCAAACAGTACTCGATGAGCAGTCGCGTCTTTTCGACGCGCGAGAGCAACTCAGCAATTCACAACCTTTCTCCACGAATAAAACCTACTAATAGAGGCACCTGCAGCGTCCCAATTATTCATGAAAAATAAAATCTTAAAATTTCGTGCAAAATATTCCATGAGCTATCTGAAGGTGAAGATAGTCAAGAATATTTTTCGAAATTAAATGCAAAATTAAATGAAAGGCAAATGGTACTTGCGTTCGGTGTTTTCTAGTACGCGTTGCATACACAACCCCTGAATATTTGTTTCGTATTTATTTTTATAACTTGTGTAATTTCATGGGATCATTTTACGGAAGTTTCCAATCTTTCATATTTTTCATTTTAGTTTTGCATCCGTGCTCGGCACCCTGATACCCTGATTTTGCAGATTGTTTTTATGTGATGCACAGGAATGCAAAAAAAAAACCACACTGGAAAAAAAAACACATTGGACCTAGAGTCCAGACTCTTAAAAACATCGACAAGAAAATATACTCTTGATTCAATCAGATTTAAGCTTAAATCAAGAACCAAACCTCTTAATTCGAGCGGATTTCCTTTTACTTTAAGCTTAATCCGATTGAATCAAGAGTCCTTTTTCTTGTCAATGTTTTCAAGAGTCTGGACTCTAGATCCAATGTGTTTTTTTTTTCCCCAGTGTGATTTCCATTTCAGTTGTGCATCTGTGCTCGGCACCCTGATTTTGCAGATTGTTTTTATGTGATACACAGCAATGCAAAAAAAAAAAAATTGATTTTGCTATTTTTATAACTATACTACGAACAGAAATGGTGAAACACTGCAATGGTCTTACGGGGTTTATTTTCACCGAGCTGTCAATTATCCAGAAATGATAGAGAGCGATTCCGCACGGTCGGTGTGATTAATTGATCCGCGCTTGAATAATCGAATTGAATAATCGATTATTATCGATATCTCCCCATTTGAAGCTGTAGTAAAGAATCGATTATGAAGGTGTTCGTTGCAAACACCCTGCTAATCGACCCTTTCTCGCAGGTTTAAATGGCAGATCAATCGATGTATCGCAAAGCACGCTACGCCACGCCACTGTTCCTCACAGGATTCGAGGATGTAATGCACTGCATCACAGTGTATTTTCAGGATAATTATCGGCATCAAATGTTCAGTAATTATTACTTGCGATTTAATGAGATTGCGAATTTTTAATAACCGCGAGAAATATCGCAGGTGCACAATACGTAAATGAAGGCATTGTGTCCATTATTCCTGATGGAGTCCTCACTGTGAATAACCAAGAAAGCACGTAATTCCACCACTGTGTATTTCCAGAAGCTCCATTCATATCCAACCCGTAAAAAAAATCATTCAATTGAAACATTTTGAAAGTGAGCCTCGTCTAATTAAAGTAATTTTGGCGATAGTTTTACAAAGTTTACCAATACAAAGTTTAATTTTTTAGCGCGCACACAAGCATGTTTTAATTCTCAGCAATGAATGTAAAATTTTGCATTGATGTATCATTAAAAGCAATGAAGCATCTTTGAACTCAAGCTAAAACTTTCACCAAAAGCGGATTAATTGGAAATTCGCCTTATCAGAACGGATACTTTTATGGGACATTTCCTACTATGAGCATTTCAACTAGGATTTTTTCATCTACCACCCAGGAGTGCACATTATTTTTTTTCTGCCTCTGCACTTTGCGCAATGGACGCCTTCAAGTTTTGGCCGTCAATTGCACATAGTAAGTTGACATTCAATGAGGACTTCACCTGTCAGATGCGGGCAGTTGCATTTTCTATTGGCATAGTTCCTTCGATACTACTAAGTAGTGCATGTTCGTTTCGCGGATCGATCGGCGCCAAGTCCTCGAACTCTGAGGTCGCGAATCCAGGCGAGTCTAATTCGCAGATCGCAGTCCAACCGGGCCCACGTTCAGTCACGCACAACGTTGTTTGTTTTATCGGCGATAGAACTGAATATCAATTTTCTCAGCGGTGATTCCCAGGAGTTTTGCGCAATGGCCATGCTGAAACGCAATAGCGATGGTGGAATTCGAAAAACGCGCGTACCTCCTGATTTGCAACGTTGCGAGTCAAAGATCCGGTGAGAAAAACGGTGATAAATCGCTGCTTTTCAGACGGAAGAGCGTAATTTTAGCACTGCAAAATTTACTCTTGCTATATTTTTATATGTATTCGAAAACTTTCGGTCGTCTCTACCTGAAAATCTGCTGATTTTTCATATAATTACAAGCAAAAATCAGCTAGACACAAGCTAGATTACAAGCTGAGACACCGCTACAAAGAAATACCTTTTCTGCCTTCAGCGCTTCATTTCTGAGCATTTTTTGTCCCGAACTTCTATCGCAGAGCACGCCTCCATGCTCGAATATGGATAGCTCAATTTTGAATTTTTGTGATTTTTCTCGTCAGGGGTCACATGTGTTTTTTCTTTGTTTTCGGGAGAGGAGATGTTAAAATAGATTCAAGTGCGTTTATTAGTTTAAGGTTATAGTTTCAAGGTTACTCAGAACAAACCTTCGACGCGTAAGTGTTAAAAGATGTGTCTGTTGAAATCAACCGAAACCGAGAAGCGGTTTGAATATTCATACGGAACAATGCGTCAGGACCCGAGCAGGCCGTGACTAATGTAAACATTTTTTTGTTCAAATCGGAAGTTAATTAAACCGGTTGCGCTAAATGTAAATTCACTTTGAATGTATCGTCTTTGAGAGCTTATGAATTGGGCAACTTCTCCCTGCCCGGCCCTTTAAATCAACTGTTGGGAGCGTCTAACTTTTGACACTATCAGGTGATTCGATGGACGCCATATTTTGTGTCATAACGACTTGCGATATATCGCATCAATCGGTTCCATTTTTTCAGGTACTCGTCATTTTTCTCCAATTCTGAGATCGCAATTCTGTTGTCAGAAGACTAAAGCACTCACTTACCAATTTTAACAAAGAAATTCAACGTAATAAAGGAGTGTTTTTTTAAGAGAGAAAATATCGCATTCGAGTGCACTTTCGATATCAGTATCGAATGCGATGTTTTCTCTCAAAAAAAAACCACGTCTTTATTACGTTGAATTTCTTTGTTAAAATTGGTAATTGAGTGCTTTAGTCTCCTGACAACAGAATTACGATCTCAAAATTGGAGAAAAATTACGAGTAGCTGAAAAATGAAACCAATGGATGCGACATATCGCATGCCATTCTGACACAAAATGTGGCGTCCATCGAATCACCTTAAAATCAAGGATTACACATATTATCCCTACCCTCCGCGCAAATTTTATTAGTGCGCCCCAGCTGCTGCTTTAATGTTTCTGTTGTTTCCCCTGCTTCGTTTTCGTACAAACAACCACTTTTTTCTGTCGCTTAGGACTCAATGAAATGAAGGAAACTAGCCTCCTGGCAGTGAAGAATTCCTTGACACA